GCCCTACCCCCGCCCCCCCCCCCCACCAGGGAAAAGCCCCACCCCAGGGCATAAAAATGCCTGCCCTTGAAATGCACTTGTTTGTACCCCGGTCCTCACACGCCTCTGATTGGGAAGGTCGGCTGCCCCCCACCCTCCCCTCCAGCCTCAGCGGCATCCTGACAGCTCATCACCTTCTGGGAAGGTGTGACAGCAGCGAGCTCCTACCTGATGAGCCTTCCGTTTTCCACGTAGTATTGCACCCCGAGGAAGGTCACGAAGGGGGCGCCCGGCCTGCCGCCGCCCTGGGGCTGGAAGCGTGGAGCGCAGGCCGCAATGAGGCCTTGGGGTGGGGGCTGACCGCTGCCTGGGGCGCCGGACGGAGCCACCACCCCCATCCCCGCAGACCAGCCTGAGCCCATGTGCGTCCTGCGGGCGGCTCGTGGCTTCTGTCTCTTTGTTAGAATGAAAGCAAAGCATCCAGAACACCTGGGGCACTCGCCTGCACCCTCAGGGCCGGCTCCATGCCTCAACCCGGGGGATGGGGCCGCCTGAGGGCCAGCAGCCCGGCCTCCGGCCCGGCGCGCTGACTTACTCCGCGAGTCTCTCTCTTCCAGTCCTTGGAGAAGTATTTGCTGAGCTTCTGCTCCAGATCCATGAAGACGTGCTCGTTGTCTACAGAGAGAGGCAGGGCCTGAGCACAGCGTGCTAGGACTGTGAGAGTGTGTGTGTGCACCAGTGTGAGCGTTAAACACGTGTGAGTGACTGTGTGCATGAGAGTATGTGCATGTAAGTATAATGTGAGTGTGAGTGTGTGCGTGGTGCAGGGTGTGAATGTGTAAGCATGTAAACATGTGAGACAGCGTGTGTGAGTGTGATATGTGTGTGCATGTAGATACTTGAGTATGTGTGTGTCTGAGTCTGCGTGTGAGTGTGCGAGTGTGTGTGTGCCTGTGTGCACCAGTGTGAGTGTGTGAACACATGTGAGTGTGTACATGTGAGTATAATGTGAGTGTGAGTGTGTGCGTGGTGCAGGGTGTGAATGTGTAAGCATGTAAGCATGTGAGACAGTGTGCATGAGTATGATCATATGTGTATGGATACTTGAGTATGTGTGTGTCTGAGTGTGCATGTGCGTGTGCGAGTGTGCATGTGTCTGTGCCCATGAGAGCACATGTGTGCTCTGATGTGAGGAGGAATCGCCCCATGCCCCTGGAACACGGCACAGGGGGGCACCAGGCAGAGGCCTGGGATCGTCTGCCCCTAGCACCCCCCACCCCTGCCCTGGGAAGGNGTGCCCATGAGAGCACATGTGTGCTCTGATGTGGTGAGGAGGAATCGCCCCATGCCCCTGGAACACGGCACAGGGGGGCACCAGGCAGAGGCCTGGGATCGTCTGCCCCTAGCACCCCCCACCCCTGCCCTGGGAAGGGGCCGGGGTCCCGGGGTCACCAGGCGATGCTTGCTTACTTCTGACCACGCTGAGGCCAAAGAAGTGGGCTTCTCTGATGCCGGTCATGTCACACACCTGCTGGAAGAGCTCGCGCCCCGTGGCCTGCACCTGTGAGGGGGCAGGAGGCGCTCAGGGCACAGCGCAGGGCAGTGCCCGCGAGGGGGGTGAGGAGGAGGGGCTCCACCGAGCAGAGCTGGCAGGCAGGGGCCTGGCTCGGCGGGCTCCGCAACCAGCGGGGTCAGCGCGCAGGGTCCCTGGAGGCTCCCGGGCTGATGACAAGGCGTCCCTCCCTGCAGTGGGGCTCCTGTGAAAGAGGGAGGGGGTGCCGGCTCCAGAGAGAGCCTGTCCTTCCAGGGACAGAGGCTGGGTGCCCCCCACGCCTCCCCACCTGAAGCCAACATCGCCAGGCCACTCCTGGAAGTGGGGCTGGGATCTGGGCACCCCTAAAAGGAGCGGGTCGTGTGGGGGCGGGTCTGTGACTCCCCATGTCCCACTCCTGCTGCAGGCCGTCCCACCGGGTTCCAGGGCCCAGGCCGAGCCCCCAGCCCTGCCGCCTTCCGGCCCCTCCCAGCTCTGCGCGGCCTGTCCTGGGTGTGTGTCCACCCTGCATGGTCAGAGCCCAAGCAGCCCTTTCACCTGCGTGTGCCCAGAGGAGGGCGTGCGCTCGCTCAACTGTTAGCCACTCTGCTTTCCATTGTCCAAAAATGCTTCAGTCTTCCTAAAAAGTCCATTATACCAAACATCCCCCAAGATTAAATTTCCAGTGGTCTCACGAATGTCAGCATTTTCCTGCTTTGTTGATTGGACAGAGCTCAAGGCCTTGATTTTGGGGCACCTGGGTGCTGTTCCCCGTGGCCAACACGTCTCCTGGATGCCTCTGGGCCTCCGTCCTCTGCGTATCCCGGGTTGGTGGTTGGGCCGACAGACGGAAGCTCCCGTGCGGGGCTGAGTCCATGTGTGGGAGGCTGGCTGAGGAGGCCGCAGGTGGTGGACCCATTCACCCCGGGCTGCCTTGTCCCACTCCTGCTGCAGGCCGTCCCACCGGGTTCCAGGGCCCAGGCCGAGCCCCCAGCCCTGCCGCCTTCCGGCCCCTCCCAGCTCTGCGCGGCCTGTCCTGGGTATGTGTCCACCCTGCATGGTCAGAGCCCAAGCAGCCCTTTCACCTGCGTGTGCCCAGAGGAGGGCGTGCGCTCACTCAACTGTTAGCCACTCTGCTTTCCATTGTCCAAAAATGCTTCAGTCTTCCTAAAAAGTCCATTATACCAAACATCCCCCAAGATTAAATTTCCAGTGGTCTCACGAATGTCAGCATTTTCCTGCTTTGTTGATTGGACAGAACTCAAGGCCTTGATTTTGGGGCACCTGGGTGCTGTTCCCCGTGGCCAACACGTCTCCTGGATGCCTCTGGGCCTCCGTCCTCTGCGTATCCTGGGCTGGTGTTTGGGCCGACAGACGGAAGCTCCCGTGTGGGGCTGAGTCCATGTGTGGGAGGCTGGCTGAGGAGGCCGCAGGTGGTGGACCCATTCACCCCGGGCTGCCGTGGGGCTGGAGCGCAGTGGCCCTGGGTGCTGAGCATGGGGCCTGGCCCGGGGCGTCCGAGGACACTGCTGCAGGCTTCCTGGGGAGGCCATGGCTCCTGGGACTTCGGGACGGTCTGTCACCAGGGCGCCTAACCGTCTTCAGTCAGAGGGGCGTCCCGCTTCTCACTGGTCAGTTCCTGGGGGTCCAGCCTGACTTGTTGAGGGTCGGCCCCTCAGCCTGCCATGACGGTGACTCACCATCTGGGTCTTCCCAGCCATCGTCTCCTGACGCTCCGTGTGAAGCCGCGGTGCAGGTAAACACGGGGTCTGCCCGTGCGCTCAGCCTGGCGTGCACACGCCTGGAACTAAGCTGGCCCCAAGTTGCGAGGCCAGGCGGGGAGCCTGCAGGAGGCCGCCCTGTGGGACCCGTCACAACTGAGTTCCGTGTCTGCATCCACCTTCCTTCTGGCCGTGCGTCCTCCAGGGAACCCGCCCTGGAGGGTCCCTGCAGAGCCAGGGAGCAAGACTTGGAAAGTGCAGGGAGACACACGGCCCTGACTCGGGAATTGAGGCCCTCACGTGGGCAGGGCCCACACCCAGCACCTCCCTCCCACCTCCCCCAAGTCCTCCTGCTGCCCCCTCCCCACGGCCTGCAGCAACTCTCAGGACACAGTGAACCCCCTGAAGACCCACGACCAGCTCGCTGGATGGGGACAAGGGCTTGGGGCCTCGGCTCCAAACCAGAAGAACGTCCCTGAGCAGAGAAGCCTTGGGGCACTGCGGTCCCTCCCGGCCCGTCCCAAGGGCAGCCCTCAGGGAGCCGGCTCTTCACTAGGCCCCTCCCACGGTAAGTTCTGCTTTTTCACAAACCACAGCTACCCTTTACTGCCTTCACCTCATGGCAGACAGATGGGGAAACAGTGGAAACAGTGTCAGACTTTATTTTCTTGGGCTCCAAAATCACTGCAGATGGTGACTGCAGCCATGAAATTCAAAGATGCTTGCTCCTTGGAAGTAAAGCTATGACAAACCTAGACAGTGTATTAAAAAGCAGAGACATCGTTTTAACGACTAAGGTCCATCTAGTCAAAGCTATGGTTTTTCCAGTGGTCATGTATGGATGTGAGCATTGGACTCTAAAGAAAATTGAGTGCCGAAGAATTGATGCTTTTGAACTGTGGTGTTGGAGAAGACTCTTGAGAGCCCCTTCGACTGCAAGGAGATCCAACCAGTTAATCCTAAAGGCAGTCAGTCCTGGATGTTCATTGGAAGGACTGATGCTGAAGCTGAAACTCCAATACTTTGGCCACCTGATGCGAAGAGCTGACTTGTTTGAAAAGACCTGATGCTGGGAAAGACTGGGGGCAGGAGGAGAAGGGGATGACAGAGGATGAGATGGTTGGATGGCATCACCGACTCAATGGATGTGGGTTTGGATGGACTCCAGGAGTTGGTGATGGACAGGGAGGCCTGGCATGCTGCGGTTCATGGGGTCACAAAGAGTCGGACACGACTGAGCGACAGAACACCACCAACACCAAAACCCCTCCAATGAGGACACCCCCTCAGGGAACAGCCAGCTTTCTAGGTGCTTCTCTGCACCTCTGAACTCAACTAAGACAGGCCCATGAGGGGAGCAATAAGGACAGAGAGACAGAGTCTTTCCTCCTCGGATGGGGCCTGAGCATCCGTGACAGCTGAGCACGCGAGACATCCTGTGGATGGCAGCTTCTTGGGCCCCCATCCCCCCAGGCCCCCTCCACCCCACATTCCCAGGAAGGAGATGCAGAAACAGGAGCTTCCTCCTCACAGTTGGGGATGGTCATCAGAATCGCTCCAGTCATGGGCCAGGTGAGGGCTGCCCCCCCCTTCCCAGCACCCCAGCCCCGTGGGGCCTCCGGAGCACCCTCGTTCCCCCATGCCTCCACTCGCACCCCTGCGGGCAGGGGCAGCCACGCCTGCAGCAGCGAGATCGCACACAAGCTCCGGGACAGGGCTCAGGCTGCAGCCCCAGCTGGGCTCCCAGCTCCCCCCAGCCCTGGGCCTCGAGTTTCCCCCTCTGGGGAGTCAGGCCAACGGGGGTGAGGGCCCTCAGGCTGCGCGTGGGGAGGGTGAAGGGAGGGGGCAGAGCCCGCCACATCAGGGCTCCAGGCAGTGCGGAAGGGGCCACCCTGGGCCGCACAGCGAAGAGGGGACAGGCCAGAGGAGCCTGCAGCTCAGACCCCCGGGAGAGCGGCAGCCCTGAGGGCCAGAGCCCCGGGCACAGAAGAACCTGAAGGCGCGTCACTTCCGCTCAGCACCCGGGCCAGTGGGAGACCCCGTCCCCGACCGCAGGCACGACGAGGTCCCGGCTGGAACCGCCCGTCACTGACCCCCTAGCTGCCCCTGAGTGCCGAGGGCCAGGCTGGACGCCGGAGGCCCAGCGGGCGGGCTCTGAGTCTGCCCTGCCGACCTGCCCAGTATGTGCCCACGCTGTTCGTCCTCAGGCCAGGCCCCACGGGCCCAGCACCCCAGCAGCTCCCCGGGCCGGCCTGTCGGGGCGCTGGGGGGCGGGCTCTGGTCCCTCGTGTGTTCCAGGAGTCCCTTCCAGGGAGGGCGGAGCAAGCAGGGTCCCGCCTGCGCGCCCCTGGTGCTGGCCGCCCGCAGGGGCCCGGAGGATGCCTGAGGAGCGTCCCTGGGGTGGCCGGGGCCTGGGGCAGGCCGTGGGGAAGCGAGCCGGGAGCCCGCGGGTCGCTCGCTGCCTCAGAGCCTCCGCCCGGTGCCCCCGCCCCGTGCCTGCTGAGCGGGGCCAGGCGTTCCTAACTGATGGTCCACACCGCTCCTGCGAGGACGACCTGAGCCGTTGTGAGCCCAAGACAGCGTCCGGTGAAGCCCCGCCCCGCGCCCCGGCCCAGCACCGCGGGGCGGCCCTTCGCAGGGAGGGCGGGGCCTCCAGGGTCCAGCCCGAGCCTGTGTCCAGCGCAGTGGAGGGCGGGGACTGTGCGGGAGGCGGGGCTGCAGGCGGCTCTGTGTGAGACCCCTCCCTGAAGACTCGCGGAGACCTGGGCGGGGGAACCTGGCCACTCGGGCGGACGCCGGAAGTGGACCGCGAAGGGTCAAGGGGAGGAAGGACCTGGGGCTGCGTGACGGCGTCTGCTCTGAGCATCACTGACGTCTGGGGTCTGGGGAGGACACCTGCTGCGAAAACGCAACTTCTCCCCTTCTTGGGAGGACGACCGCGGTCTGCTCCCCGGGGCAGGACCTCACGGTCACCCACAGACAAGGCGGGAAAGGCCCGACTCTCACCGCTCACCCCACCGCCCCTGCTGACCCCAGGCCCTGCTCCCCTCCACGCTCACCCCAGGACCCCGTCCCCAGGCCCTGCTCCCCTCCACGCTCACCCCCACGGACAGCCGCAGCCGTTCCCGTGTAGGCAGCAGCACCAGCACGTCCCGGAGCTCCGCAGTCATCCCGCCGGCCGCACACGGTTCTCGGGACCAGGGCCTTCCGTCTGCTACTGCGGGAAGGACTCGTCAGGGTGGGGAAGGGCTGGCAGCCGGCGTATCCCCAAAGGGACGGGGCTGCGTGTCACCAGAGGGATGGGGCTGTGTGTCCCCAGGGGGACGGGGCCGTGTGTCTCCACACATGGGGCCGTCTTCTGCCGTCCGGCTGCAGGCGGGGTGCCGCACCCAGACTCACCCAGCTGCTGGCTTCCGGGGATGGGTGCCCTGTGAGCTCCTGGCTGGGAAAAACGCTGGCACTGGGGCCAGGACAAGGTCCAGGCTCCTAAGTAGCCGCGATGTCTGGAATGCAAATAAACACGCCGGCTGGCTCCGCCCTGCTCCCGCTGACCCCTCTCCCCAGCGGCCCACCTCCTCCTCCAGATCGGGGACTGAGCATGGCCCCAAGGCCCCGTGTGGACCGCAGACCCAGGCCCCACGGGGAAGCCGGAGGGGCTGGAGAGGCGCCCCGGGTCCCCATGGCTCCCTGCCTCCTCTCACACCTGGAGGGAGGTGAGCCCAGAGGTAGCGAGGCCAGTCCCCAGACAAGGTCTCCCCGAAGGTTGCCCTGGCCCATCAGGCCGGGGTCCCTGCCCCCTGCTGGCCAGGGGCCCCTGGTGAGCGGACCTCCTGACCTCCCAGCTGCTAGGAGAGCGCGGGGGAATGGGACGGCCCGCAGGTGATTCCCATCCCTGCCTTCGCCCGCACCCCGGGTGTCCGTCCCCAGGTGAGCTGGGGGCCCTGAGCTGCCGCCTCTGAGAGGGACTGGGGGAGGCTTCCAGGCCACAGACACGAGGCCCCGGGAGGGCGGCTGGCCAGCCCCGGGAAACTCGGTTCCTGCTGTCCTTACATCCGGCCCCACTGGGGTTGGAAGGCCTGGGCCATGGGTGGGGACATGCAAAGCCCTTCTGGGCTCTGTCTGCCCCTCGCTGGGGGGTCATGGGGACTCTGAACAGCCTGCCGCCCTTTGTCTCCAGGGTCAGCAGCCCTGCTCTCCTCCGAGATGTGCGTGTCCCTTTAACCTGCGACTTGAGGATTTTTCCAACGGCTGAAGAGCCAGGAAGCGGATACTAACCCCTGACCCCTGCACCTGTGCCTGGCTGCCCGACTCACTGCCTGCGATGCCCTGTGAGCCACAGACCGTCCTGCCATGAGGAAGGACGGACGTGGGCACGGCCCCTTTCCACGAGTGTCCAAGCAGCGGCAGCCACGCATGCGCACACACAGGGACCCTGGGGTGCAGGCAGGGGCGCAGAAGTGGGGCTTCTCCCAGGGAAGGCGCCAGGAATGGACATCAGCCCCCACCGGGCAGCTAATGAGCACAGCCCAGGGGCTCTGCCCCAGGTTCTGGATCCTGCTCTTTGTCCTCTACCTCGAGATGGGCCTGCCAAGAGTGTTTCAGAAATAAAGCTTCCAAAACACAGGCCCAAAAAGTACAGGTTTCACAGAATGACGCGGGAAAACCATTCAGCAGTAAGTAGGAACAAACTACTGGTTTGTGGACAAATGTCAAAAAATCATGCCAAGCGGAGAACACGATTTACACGAGTCCATGACACCTGCTAGAGGCCACACCGGAGGCAGAAAGCAGGTCCGTGCTGCCCGGCTGGAGGCGGCCACAGGTGGGCGACGTGCCGCGGTCAGGCGGTGGGGGCACGGTTGTGCATTTACCAACTCACTCTATTGTTCATTTGAATGTATTTTTAACATGTAAATTGTACCTCAACAATGCCGTTAAAATACTCTATACAATAGTAGAAAACCACAAACAGTCATTCCATAGAAGGCACAGAATACAATGCAATTGTCTGCCAGGAAAGCCGCTTCTAGCAGGTGTGTGTGCCTGTGTGTGCCCTGTGTGCGCAAGTGTGACAGAGTGAGCGTGTGCGTGCCGTGTCACTCGCCTGGCCCGCCCCGTGTCCAGTGAGGACCCGGTGCAGCCCCTGCCGCCCTTCTCACGGCGCTCCTTACAGCTCTGCTTCTACTTCTTAAGGTGCTTCTTTCATTCGCACTCTTCCTGGAGGGGCAGCTGGCCAGAGGCAGCGCGGCTTGCTGGCTTCATCCGTGGGGAGCCTGATGCAGAGAGGTCCCTGCTCCAGCGCCTCTGAGGCCGCACTGCAGACCCCGCTGAACTCAGGGACGCGTGCTTGCTCTCATGGCATGTCCAGGGCGGCTCCGAATCCCGAGCGGCAGACTCAGCCTGGGGGGAAGCACAGGGGTCTCACTGCTGCTGGGAGGGGGCTGTGCAGAGTGCTGGGGCCTCCCTGATGCGCCCCTGCCAGGAACTGAGGACCCCCGGCAGCCCTGGCCAGGTGATGAGGCGCCAGGGACCGCTGCCCCCGCCACCCCAGTAACCTGTCCGGCCCCCACAGCTCCTGCCCGGTCCCGCCAGCCAGTCCAGGAGCAGCCGCCAGTGAAGGGACCCGGTCCTGGTTGGACCCACTCCTGGGCCCTCCCCGGCTGGGCTGGGTGACAGAGCTCCTGGGTCGAGGGCCCGTTAGGGGGGCACTTGCCTTTTCCAGTCCACACAGCTCTCAGGAGTGGGGGCCCGGAAAGGAGGGCAGAGAAAACGGGGACACGGGGTCGGCAGGGGGCAGAGGTGACCTGAGAGGCGGCGCCCGGGTCACAGCCTCGCCCTCCTGGCTGAGGGACCAACCGACCCTTGACGGGCGGGGCCCCTGAGGTCAGGGCGAGGTCACCCCCAAAGAGGGCCTGGGTCCACTTCCAGGACGGGGCCTCTGGGCGTGATCACTGCCCCTTGCTGCCCCCTCCCACGGCCCCCTGCCCAGCCCACCTTCTCCCCACCCCTTCCCCACTCAGCCTGGCTGTGCTGCTTCCGGAAGGCGGTCCTGGGGCCTGGATGGTCCTGGCCCACCCCACATCCTGGACACTGTCCCTTGAGCAGCCCTTGCACACCCACCCACACTTCCCGTCTCACTCCCGGCTTGGCGTGAGTGCGGCAGGCGTGGACCAGGGGGCTGATGTGGGAAACAGGGTGGCAACCCAAAGCCTGACCCCCTGAGGCTGAGAATGGGGCCTTGGGGGCCAGGACAGCAGGGGGGTGTTCCCCGAGGCTCTCAATTACTCCCCCCCACATCAGCCCGACCCCCTGAGGCTGCGAAAGGGGGAGCTGGGGGCGCTGGGGGCCAGGACAGCAGGGGGGTCCCTGAGACTCTCAGGTCCTCCCCAGCCCGTGTCGGCTCTCCTGGGGTCACGTCACGAGGGGCAGGAACACTGTCCCTGTCCCCCATCTTGTGGGGTCTCCCCCCTGGAAAGGGCCTGGCGCCCTCTGGGGCAGGAGTTTAAACGGTGAACCAGAGCACAGCTGTGGGACCCGCGAGCTGGGACTCGGGGAGGGGCCACAGCACGGGGGCAGCAGAAGCCAGGATTTGGGGTCCGCTAGAACTGCTCTGAAGGATGGCAGGGCTGGGGGCCCTGGGGGAGCAGGCTGAGCCACGCTGACTGGCCCCTCACTCCACGACAGGTGGGGGCAGGGACACCCTTGTCCCCACAGTGGGGATGAGGTCCGGCAGACGGCAGGGGCCGGGGCTTGTCCCAAGCGTGAGGCTGTCACTTGGGGGGTGGGGGGCCAACCGGGGCGTGCTCAGGCCTACAACTGCTCCAGCCACCCTCCCCACCCCCAAGTAACCCTCACCAGCCCGGTGAGGATAGCGGAGGACCCCTGGGATTGCCCCGCGTCAGCCCCTAGCCCTCCTTGGGGCAACGCAGGCCAGGAGGAGGAAGGTGCCCGAAAGGATACGAGTCAGCGGTTATCACTGGGTGGTGGCCGGGCCCACCCNCCTTCTCCCCCTCCGCCCCCTCCGCCTGGGCGCCCTGCCCCTCCTGCTCTGCGCCCAGGACAGCAGCCTCGGGGGTCGCCAGGGGTGTTTCTCCACGGCTTCACCTTCAGGCCACGCCCCCACCTCCACTTCCCGGTCCACACCCCTCTCCTCCAATGTGGACTAGGGGGGATCCCAGATCCTCCTCTCTCAGCTCCCCCACCCCAGGACTCTCGACACCTCAGCCCTGAGATCTTGCTGAAATGGGGCGGATCACACACTCTAGCCGAGAATGGCTCCCACCTCCAGCCGAGGAGAAGCAGGGTCCTTGGCCTTCGAGCCCCTCCGAGGGCCAGCCCGGTCTGTTCTCCGCCCCTGGACCTTTGCGTGTGTGCCCCCCAGGACTCAAGGTCATGGCCACTGGTCATCCCCCGTGTCCCCTTCTCCCGACTGAAGAGAAGCCCTGTCAAAGGCGCTGGACCAACGCACTCAGCGTTACACTTGACCATGCCCCAAGCAGATGTCACCGTAGACCCCGACCAGCATCCTTCTGAGTTTACGGTTTGCTGACTTTTACAAGCTGGCTTGGACTTCCTGGACTGACCCACGGCTTCCACTTGCTGGAGGTCACAGCAGTACACGAGACACACGAACCACGGGGACTCAGAGCCGCTTCGCAGGCCCGCCAGCGGGCTCGCGGGTCTCTCTGGAGCAGGCACAGCAGAGGCCACGAGGTGTCGGGGTCCTGCCGACCGCGTGCGCTGGGAGCAGAGACCACGGAGTCACCTGGACCCGGCCTTGTGAGGAGCCTCTGGGAACGGCCGCCGCTGCCCGGATGGCCGAAGTTCCAGCGCTTTCTGCTTCTTCACTGGGGAAGCCAAGTCCTGGTGCGGGTGGACTCCACAGACGGGCCCCTCTGGGGGGCGGGTGGCGTTAAATGAGGCTGCTGTCCCTGGGTTGTGTGCGGTGACCCCAGGGCCCCTTGTTCAGCGTGGGACACTCCACACACCAGGTCGCCCCCCACTTGCTGGCAGGAGCCTCTGGTGAGCTAGGTGACGCCTCCCGACTGGCCGGTGGGCCCGGCGTGCTTACCTGGACCCCACGGGGCAGGCCTGACACTGTGTGGAGCCCGAGGCGGGGACTGGGGGGCAGCATCCCTGGGGGAGGGGGAGTGGCCATTGCCTTCAAGGTTCCCAGGCTTCCTGGAGGAACTCCTGCCAGAGCTTCCAAAGCCCTGAAATAGACCCTGTAAAGCGTCCTTCCTTCCTGGCTTCCTCCTCCAGTGATGGTGGCGCCGGGGAGGGGGGCGCCCTGACGTGCTGGGGTATGTGCTGCCCACAAGCGCTCTGCCTACACGGTGGACACCGGGGCTTCTATCCTGACACGCTCGTTCCAGAGCCAATCTGAGGGTCAGCCCAGGACACAGAGGCCCCCAGGCAGGAGAGGGTTCAGGGCCCAAGCTCCACGGAGCAGGAAGCTCACCCCCACAGCGGGGTACCTCCCGGGGAAGCAGGGGCTTCCTACACGGGGCCACCACAAAGGTCTCTGTGCATGCACGCATGCTGTAGCTTCAGTCGTGTCCAGCTCTTTGTGACTCCGTGGACTGTAGCCCACCAGGCTCCTCTGTCCATGGGATTCTCCAGGCAGGAATCCTGGAGGGGGCTGTGACCTCTTCCAAAGGGTCCTCATTACCGTTTATTTTGCATCCACCACAAGGACCTGCAAGGTTACTGGGAGGGGCCCCCTCCCTCGAGTCCCAGCCTGGCCCTGCCTGGCGACCCCCAGGGCTGTGCCAGCCTGTCAGTCATGGCCCTTGGAAGAACATTCTTTATTCCATGATCCGGGTCACGCACACATGTGTGGGCCGCTAGGGAGTGCAAGGCCTCCAGCGGGCCTCCCGTGGTGGAGGGCGCGACTGCCGGCTGACCACCGGCTGGACCCAGACCGTCCATGCCCCTGTCCTCGGAACGCGGCCTCTGCCCACTGTCCACACACCCGCGACCATATTAGGGAGGTGGCCTTCAAGCAGCTCCGCGGGGCAGAGACGGCCGGGACGTGACCTCAGTGGAGTCCTTTACGGCCTCTGTGTGAACGTGAGACCTGGGCGGTGGGCCAGTCCGGCCTGGTGCTGCCCACGGCGAGCGCAGTATTTGAGGCCCTCGCTTATCAACCGCGCCTGCCGTCCGCGCCTCTCTGAGCCCTCCGTGTACGAGCAGGTCCAAGTCTCACCCAGCAAACTCCCGAGACTGCGAACCAACCAAGCAAAGTGTGGTCAGTGGTGGTGAGCGCGGCTCCCCCATCGCTGTTCCCGATCTGTGGGCATGCACTGGGGGCGGCGGGAACCTCATCGGGACCCAGTCATGAACGTTAGCCGGCCGCCCGGGGACCCTGGGCCCCAGCACCGTGCAGGGGCCGACAGGACTGTGCCCAGCTCAGGACCACACATGGCCCCGTGGCCACCAGGCCCTGTGTGTCCTCCTGGCTGGCCCACCCACCGGGCGCGGGGTGTTGCTGTGACGGGATTCTCAGATGCCATGATCAGTTGGCCTTAGGTAAAGCCGATGACCCCCCACGGCGCGGGCGGGCTGCCCTCTAGGAGGTGAAGGCCAGGAAAGACCAGGCCCCTGGAGGGAGAGGACGCCTCTCCCCAGACAGCCTCCGAGGAGGGAGTGCCTGCCCTCCTCCCTTCTTCCTTCTGGGGCCCAGAGCCCCCTGGTCCAGGGGAAGGGGCGGGGGGGGGGAGCTGCCCTGCTTCCTCCTGGGCCCAGAGCCCCTCTGGTTAAGGTAGCGGGTGTGGGGGGCTCCCCTCCTTCGTCCTGGGCCCAGAGCCCCCTGGTCCAGGGAGCAGACCCCCCCCTCCTCCCCTCTTGGGCTTCCCCCTGCTCTCTCCCCCCACCAGTCCGCCCTCCCCAGGGAGTCTCGCTGACTCAGCTCCCGCCGCCCCAACCTGTGCCTCCCTCCACTCGGGCCATCAGAGCGGCTGCTCCCTGACATCCCTTCCTCCTCACTGCGCCCCGGACGTCTGAGAATGGATGAGGAGTCACTTCCAAGCAAACCCTCCTAACACCCCCTGCCCCCCGACCCCCGGGCCTCTAACCCTGACTGCGTCTCCCTCACCTCACCCTCCCTCTCTCCGGCCCAGTTCCTCCTCACCCAGAATTCTACCAGGACCCCACCTCGGGGCCCCCACCTCTGCGCCTTCCCCAGCACCGTCCCCTTGGCCTGGGACACGCTACCTCGGGCCCCAGCCCTTCCCACGGTCCTTCCCACCGTCCACTGGCCTCCAGCAGCCGGTCACCCTGGTCCCGACCCTGTGCCCCGCAGATACTGCAGCTCGATCGTGTCCCAGACTCTGTCTCCCGTGTCCGGCCTGGTCTCCTGGCTAGTGCCCCACGCTTCCTGCGCAGGTCCGTGCCCCACTGCTGCACAGGCCCTGGGCCCAGCTGCTCGGTGCACACGCGTGAGGCCCAAGGGGCCATGTCACTCTCTGGGGGGCGGAAAACAAGCTGCAGCGTCACCAGCTACCCGTGGCTTCCTTCATCAGAGCGTCGTCCGCTCACCCCATTCCTGGCGCAAGGCGTGCACCCCGCGAGACCCCCTCAAAGAAAGGACCGACTGTCAACATCCACTGTGCGGTTCACCTGCCGCAGCCCCTTCCCCCGGCCGCTGGGTCCAGAGGGCAGTACCTCCAGGACATCTCGGCGGAGGCCTGGGGAGGAGGAGGAAACAGCCGGGGGCAGGGTCCCCGAGGCGTGGGGGCGCGGCACCGCGCAGGCGCGTGGGGGCGCGTCCTTACAGAGACTCGGCCTCCTCCCGTGTGTGCCTGGCGGTCAGTTACTGTCTCGGTCCTGCTCTCCGTGTCCCGACAGCTGGACCTGGGGGCCCAGTGCCCACGGGCACCCTGCATACCTCTGCTCCTTCCCCCTCCTTACATTATCGAGTGAAATAACCCCAAGAACAGCCCCCTTGGTGATGCCAGTGCCCACGAGGCCAGTCCAGAGGGGACGCCGGCCGCGGCCACCGCGTGTCCCTCTAAGGGCCCCTGGGAAGGCAGTTGGGGTCCTGGGGTGCTCCATGGCAGGGCAGTGAGCGGGCCCCCCCGGCCGTTTCCGGGCCGTGTGCGACCCCAGGGCTGCGGTCCCTGCAGTGCTGGACCAGGCGCTGGGCGCCCGGCTCTCCTCCCCGTCGGCCACCCGTCTGTGTTGTGACGGTCACGCTCGCCCTCCCGCTTGCTCACTGACTGCCTCACGGAACAACCCCGCCTCCGCCAGTCCCCCAGGGCCTCCCAGCAGGAGACCAGGAGGGCGTGGAGCGCGGGCCGCAGCGCCCCGGTGGGGGTTGCAAGACAGGGGAGGGGCCGAGCCTAAGGGCGCAGACCTGGGGATGGGGGCCCAGCCCGGGGGGAGGGAAGGGG